ATATATATAATATATATATATATAATATATAATATATATAATATATATAATATATAATATAATATATATATATATATATAATAGGGCAAGTCTTTTTTTTGACCTTGGATCACTTTTTTTTGACCTTACCTCTTTTTTTTGACCTTGGATCCCTTTTTTTTGACCTTGGATCACTTTTTTCTGACCTTGACCTACTCTTTCTTAACCTTGGCATGTTCCTTTTTAACCTTGGCCTACTTCCCCATACTTGTTTGGAACCTTGCGCCATCTTGCACTTTTTCTCTGTGTGTGTGTGATTCTGGAGTGTGTAGAGTGCGGAGGTAGGCATGTGGAATGTCGAGTTTGCATCTGGCGTGCGGGGTGTGGCGACTGGTGGGTGGAGTGTGCATGGCGTGGACTGTAATGTTTGCAGTGTATGGTTTTCATTTGTAGTGTTCAGTATGCTGGATGTGAAATGCAACGTTGGGCGTTTCGTGCCCAATGTGAGGTGTGGAGTTTGCAGTGTGAAGTGTAGAGTTTGCAGTCTAATGGAGCGTGTAGAGTGCGGAGGTAGGCATGTGGAATGTCGAGTTTGCATCTGGCGTGCGGAGTGTGGCGACTGGTGGGTGGAGTGTGCATGGCGTGGACAGATAGGAAATTGATGGATGGAAAGATGGGTCAATACGCAATGGAAAGATAGATAGATCGATAGATAGCTATCGGCAAAGAGACATTGCGACATATAGACATAGAGACATAGTCATAGCTAGATAGATGGAGGCAAAGATAGAGATAGATAGATATAGATAGATAGATTGCTAGATAGATCAAAATAGATACACATAGATGCAGATTAACCTAGTTTGATATAGATAGAATTAGATGAATAAAGGTATATAGATAGAATGAGAAAGATAGATATGGCGAAATAGATAGTAAAGATAGGATACATAGCATAGATAGGATAGAAAGGAGAGACAGACAAATAGAGAGATAGAGAGATAGATGGATAGATAGATAGATAGATAGATAGATGGATAGATAGATAGATAGATAGAAAGATCGACAGATAGACAGATAGGCAGATAGACAGATAGATATGGTGAAATAGCTAGTAAAGATAGGATACATCGGATAGATAGGATAGATAGGCTAGATAGGATAGATAGGATAGATAGGATAGATAAGAATAGATAAGATCGATAGGATAGATGTGATAGATAGGATAGATAGGATTCAAAGGATAGATAGATAGATAGATAGATACATAGATAGATAGATAGATAGGTAGACAGATCGATAGTCAGATAGTTAGATAGATAGATAGATAGATACATAGATACACAGGTCGATGGAAAGAAAGAAAGATTGATCTATAGACAGACAGAAAAATGACAGATAGTGAATTAGATAGATAGATAGATAGATAGATAGATAGATAAGTTGATGGATGGAAAGATGGGTCGATACGCAATGGAAAGATAGATCGATCGATAGATATATATAGGCAAAGAGGCATTGCGACATAGAGACATATAGACATAGTCATAGCTAGATAGATGGAGGCAAAGATAGAGATAGATATACATAGATAGATTGCTAGATAGATAAAAATAGACACACATAGATGCAGATTAACCTAGTTTGATATAGATAGAATTAGATGAATAAAGGTATATGTATATATACATAGAATTACATAGATAGAGTGAGACTGAAATAGTTTGATATAGATAGATAAAAATTGAAGTAGGTTGATATAAATAGATTCAAATTAGTGTAGTTTGATATAGATAGGTCTGGAAAAAATAAATACAAATGGATCTGTATAGATAAATCCGGACTGGTATAGTTTGTATACGGATAGGTAGAGAGATAAACAAATAGATAGATAGCTACCTAGCTAGCTAGATAGATAGGT